ACACTTTCGGAAAAATTAGGTAATCCACTTAATTTCTGCAAATGATTACAAGATCCAAGGACTTATTAGTAAGATACTAAGGAGTTCTCCAAGACTCATAAGGATTGCAAGTACTTAACTAAACCCAGAGCGGCTAAGTACTTCAACACTTTGACAAACTATCATGTCGTGCAAGCACCCACTCCGCTTTACCTGTTGACTTCACCGCAATTCGACCCGGCCTGTACAAGTGGCAGCATGGATTGCTGCATGTTTCAAAGGTCCCGCGGCAGTAGCCGATAGCAGGAGTGCACCACGGCGGGCAGCAGCATGCCATGTCAGAAACTATGCGACTTGCCGCAATATGCTGCGGCGGCTTTGAAGTACGCGGGACAATACAAAAATGATTTCGCAAGGAATCATGCACTCCAAAAACGAGCTGGTACGCGACCATCACAAGCCCTCGAATGCATCTAAGGCTACATCTTTCTCCTTGCGTCTGATCATCACGGACATTGTCTTGGCGCAAATAAGTGTTTTTGCGTCCTCACAGCTGACCCCAAACACTCCCACCACACATAATGCGGACTCGGCAGACATAACACGAGTGTTTCGAGCGATGGTACGCATGCAAGTGGTGGGGCACAGCGACGACTCGGAGGCAACTTCTGCCCTTGCTTGTAGCCAAACGTTTGGGGATGCAGGAAACCAAGCGGAACGGGAAAAAAGCTGTCGTCGGCGCGCAAAACTGCTCGGCTGCCAGGAATCGTCTTTTTGACAGCTGCACAGAGGATCGTGTTGGTGCCCGGCCGTCTGGAGCACACGGCATGCCGGTGTACAGCGTTTTCGGCCTGTTGCCAGCTTCGAAGAGCAGGACTTGCGACCTCAGCCTGGAGGCCACGGGGTCGCTGAACGTGACGCAGACTACGCGGTTGTAACGTGCGCTTGTGATGAGCGCGCTTGCGCGATGCATTGTTTTCATGCACCCCGACCTGGCTCGAGCGCTGGTTTGGCCGTGCAAACAACCGCCCCGGCAACTGATTGCCGTGCCGGAGCTCTGCCGATCAGCTTGCACCGGTGTGTCATAGATACGTTATCAGTTTCTGCCAACAGTCTTCCCGCATGACGTCGATTCGGGTTTCTGGGGGTAAGGCTACGTTTTGGGAAGGGCTACTATTTGCAGTATTTACGCATCGCACAGTAGCTGCCCACGTGATGATCGCCAGGCATTCTTTCAACAAGTGGCGAATTGATTGTTATCACGTTCATGTCACGGCCCTTTGCTTGTTTTCGGAAATTGCAATGCTCGTCTCCACGCCAAATTAGATTCAGACCAATACTTCATTGGTCCACACCTTTTTGGAGATAGCCGTGCAAATTTTGATCCTGACTCGGAAAGGAGCCTGTTGTTAGAGCTCTGCGATGTTGTCGATTGCTTGTTGGGAATACTTTTCCCGAAGCCGGCTAACAAACAGGTCACGTACTGCAGTATTGGTGCACAACCTTCAAGATCCTTCAAATGACCTTATTCCGGCGAATTGTGGACAGCTTGATTCGTGTTGGTGCAACCTGACTGGCTCGCTTAGTGTCTCGCAGCAGTATTCATGCATGGACGTGCCACTGGCATCCCATCATTTCATATCATGTCCTTGTGATTGCGGAGCTCGCAATGCAAGCACCCAAAAGAAGCACCCGGACAGTGGCCAATGCAATCAACCCCTCAGCTTTACGGAGTGACACACACTTGAGCAATAGGTTCGCAGCATTGGTCGAGGATTCACTTGACAGTTGTACCAACGAGCAGCATCGCCACTAATGTGCAACCGATCTTAGCACACATATCACGAATAGCATGCGTGTTGCGGCCGGCGATTGCTTTAGCTGCCGTGGTCGCTAAGCTAAGCGCCCGTGGATCTGTGACGACACATTGGCAGTGGTTGATCGGCGCATCATTGCTAGGAGATCGTTCAATTTGCCGTTGGAGAAACCGTCGACCTCCGAAATCAAAGCGTCTGTCCGTCGTGGTCGTAGTACTTGGTTAGAACGGCTGTTGCACACAGGTAACTGGAAAGATTTAGGACTTAGGGTTTCGGGCTTGGCGACATTGCAATTTTTTGGACTTGTGCCTTCGGGTGGCCGGGCTGCTAGAGCTTTGGGCTGCGTACTTTAACATCGTACCACTTCAGGCTTTATCATGCGCAACAGGCAACCACACAAGTGAACTGCAACTGCTTTCTTGACAAGCTGTCACACCTCAAGTCGCAACGGACGCGACCGAGTATCTAAAATCATCAAACTTGAAGGTCAGGATTTGGAGCTCCAAAATGAATTCAGCCTGCATACCAGCTGGCTGAGAAGCATTGTTCTCGGACTTGCAGCCCCTTGTCGTTGTTATGTTTCCCTGCCTCGCTAAAACAGGTCTTTCAACGTAGCAGAGAAAATCCTAAAACAGGCCAATGCAAACAAAAGCAACCTCAATGCACATCAAGAGTTCGAGCCCCCAAAGACCAGTTGAAAATTG